CAATAGTATATGAAAATCGCTATATTTGAAATGATACAGCGATGGTGCACACATGCAAAGAGATAAAAATCTAAGATATACACTATAGATAGTGAATCAGTAGAGATTATAATGGTAGATATATGGTCAATCCATATCAATCTATAGTATATGAAAAGCAAAACACATCATCATGAAATGAAAATGAATGCAAAAAAATCAAATTTTCAGCCAGACTTTTAATTGGTCGGATTATAGTTATTAATTGGAATGTTTAATAATTCTATTAATTGATAAACAATTTTTATTTACCATTTTCTGGGTATTTTTTCGCTGAAAAACTGTCGTTGTTTATATAAAAAAGTTGTTATGTAGGGTAGAATACGAAGTGATTTCTCGAAAACAACAGCAAAAAAACGACAATATTTTACCAATGATTAATTAGTAGTTTCGAAAAGTTCAATATTTTCGTAATAAATAAATCAATTAATGCATGATCTTTTAATAGGACAGATGAAATTTTGTTCAGACATGGCCTTCCTGTACGGAGGCAGTCTTGACACATCAAAGCATTCAAATCGAAAGTGATAGACATTATCACAAATCTAATGAGCAAATTTTGCGTTATACATATTTCCAAAAATTTTTGTCGAAGAAGGTTCTTTGTCGACATTTGGGACACGTGTAAACAATTTGATTATTCTTGTAATTCTTTTGTGGATTCATATGTACAAAAAAGTGTTACTCCACGAATTATGACTGACGCACATAATCACATTTCACGTCAAAATGTTACGATGGATCTGTTGTGCATGATGATAGTTTTGACTGGAATATTTATACTGACACCAATGGTGTTCAATCTAACCAATTTAGTACAGAGAATCAACATCGAGGTACCGGTGAACATGAGCTGGATCATCGACAACGCAAAGCATGAAAACAAATTCAAGTGAGAAAACCTCAGTAAACAGTTAGCATATTATTGTCAAGTTCTATTTCAGACTGTACCAAATTCACAATCACCGAGTTCGTAGTTACCTGATATAAACGTGAGTGTTGTATCTTCATGCGACATCCGTATATAATAGAAGTGGAAAGTGAATTATCGAACTGATCCAAAAAAATATGCTGCTTGTTTCTCTGAAACAGTTATTTGTCAACGTTATTTAGTGTTTGTGGACATTTGAAAATACCCCAATTAGAAACAACGAAACATTTTTCAAAATCTCAACTGGGTTTCGTCATAACCTCGGTACATAATGAGAACAAATGTTAAGAAAAGCTTTGTTGTGAAGTCGCTAAATAGCTTGATAGAAACGATTTTACTCTTCTAAGTCAAAAACCTTTGATTTATTGAGTAGATAAAAAAAATGAAATTTTTGACAATGAAAAGTCTGTTAGAGCGGCGAATATTATTGCGTAAATGTTTGTTCAGCAGTATTATTCTGTCGATTGGAAGCTATGATGGCAATTGTTTGACCAATAGTTTGATTTGCTCTCGTTTGACTTCCAACGCGATTACCAACACCATGATTAAGGCAAAAGATTTTTCTCAGAATCAGCATGAATTCTTCTCTATATCCTCGAGTGCCAAGTATGTATGCGATGAAACTTGTGCTGTTAAAAGCATAGGTGAGGGTGAAGGTGACGGTATAAATCAAAGAAAAGGTAGGTGTCGCCTTAAAAGCAACTGGCATTATTGCTATCAGGTAAGTTATACTCACTGGAAAATTGAGAATAATATAAAT